TGCCAAGGCATCGATCACGACACTGAGCGACTCATTCATACAGAGAAAGAAAAATGGAGAAAAATTCTATATAGTCATGGATGCGGTACTATATCTTTCAACAATCTGTCGTTCTTTTCTTGGGTCTGATGAAATCCCAAGTAGCCTGTTCACAAAGTGTCCTCGACCTAGCGAAGAAAATTTTCTGAATGAAATCTTTCCGCTTGCCAAACATAATTCAACTTTTAAGTACAAGCACCTAACAAAGGGAAAGGAATCATATTTACCCCATATGTGTTTCATACAGAAAAAAATGAACCAGGTGACTCCATACGTATAAACGTGTGGTGATTGTATGAGATAAAGGAAAATTTAATTGATTTTATAGAAGTTGGTGGAAAGATAGGAGAATGTATTTTTGAACGCATTGTAGAAAATTAATGTCTTAATTGACACTTGATGGTTTAGATATTGGACAATGTCGGTGTCAGTCTTACGACAACGGGTCTAATATGGCTGGCATTTCTAAAACAGTACAAGCTAGAATTACAGAAATGAATAAGCTGGATGAATTTATGCCATGTTTGGCTCACTCCTCGTATTTTGTCAGTATGCATTCTGCTTCTTCGTGCCCGGAAGCAGTTAATCTGTTTGGAATTACTCAGAAAATACTTCGCTTTTTTGTCGGATGCACTACTCGACAGTATATTATTAAAAAATGTACAAAATACAACTTAAAAGGAAGCAGCCAGACGAGATGGTTGGAAAAATATGTGGCTGTGAAAGTGCTTCCAATGAATTTACCGGAAATATTCAAATATTTAAAAGAAATTAAAGATATTTCTCTTGATGCGGAATCAAAGCATGAGGTAGGACATCTGTTACATGCTGTGAAAAATTTGAATTTACTCAACCTGAAAATTTGAGCAAATATTTTTCCAGAATTCAATCGAGTAAATATAGAAATTCAAAAGGAATTCCTCTTCCGCGTTCTGTGTAGTTAACGAAAGAACTGACCAAAACTGAGGAATTATAAAAAATGAGAGAAAAATCTCCTATGGAACATATGGATACAAGAGTCTAAAACAGTAGCCGAAAAAAATTGCAGTTGAGTCTATTCTGACAAATAAAGAATTCAAAAGCACAAAAAGCAATCTGATGAACTGTTTGAGGACGAATCACGAACACTTCAACCTGTTCAGATCGAAGTTTCAGCAAATTAAAACATATTAAAAAATATCTACGATAATCGGTGAGCAAGAGCGTTTATCAAGTAGCGATTCTGGCAACCGAAAATCAAACCGCAGATCAAATTATGACGATTCCATGCACTTATTTGCAGAACAAATGGCTTACAGTGTAAAATTGTAATTTTTGTTACTAATTCCGTGATATTTTAATAGCGTTAAGATAGGTAAGAACTTAAAATTACTTATGACATAGGAAGTATGAAAAACAAGACAGGAAGCACGAATACTCTCAGTAATAGCCCATATTCCGTATAATCTTTTCAGAATACTTCCTTTCGGCAATAGCCCATATTTTGTATGCAATGGTTCCATTAGTGGCCGAGCAATAAAAGCCGCTGAGCACTAGTAGTTCGATCTGAGGGTCAAGTATAGGTGAATGGGCTGGCTGTATGAGTATTTCCGTGATTTTCCCCGTGTGTAACATAGATACAAGTCAGTTTTTCCTTACAAAGTTTTTTCCACAAGGCATTCCTCCGTTTCCATGCAGAGCCTAATGGCGAAACACATAGTAAATAATCAGACAAATGTGCTCAGCAGTGGCCGAGTGATTAAGACCGCTGAATACTGGTAGTTCGACCTTGCCTGGGTTGAAATTCAAAAGAACGGGCTGACTGCATGGTTTCTCTTCGTGGATTTCCTCATGTGTAATGCGAATACGAGCCAGTTTCCTATAAAAAGTTCCTCCACGAAAGCACCTCTCCTTTAAGCAGGTAGCCCTCCTGTCTTTGCCATATTCATATAATCTAACCCAACCTAATTTAACTAGTAATGCAATAATACGGAATAGTGAGAAGCTTAGGGGTTACCCGTTGTCCATTAAAGCTTAGGGTTTACCCGTTGTCCCTAGAACGGAAAAGGAATAGTGGCGAGGACTGGAGGGTTAGAAGCATTCAGGATTAGAGTTAGGATTAGACTTGAATCCGAAAGTAAGCTCACCACCAGAAAGGCGATTCTCCTAGGGAGGGGACGAATTTTTAATTATGTAACTTCGTTACGTATTTTCCCTTTATAGCAAGGGAAAAAAAAAGAGCACATTAAGAATTTAGTATAAAATGGACTTAGAAGCATTCAGGATTAGAGTTAGAATTAGACTTGAATCCGAAAGTAAGCTCACCACCAGAAAGGCGATTCTCCTAGGGAGGGGACGAATTTTTAATTATGTAACTTCGTTACGTATTTTCCCTTTATAGCAAGGGAAAAAAAGAAAGAGCACATTAATAATTTAGTATAAAATGGAGCTTAGGTTTTTACCTCAAACCCTACCTATTTCTGTATTTATTAAAGAAATTAAAACTTTTTAGAGAAACTTAAAGGATGATGGGTGAGGGCGGCAGTTTTAACTTTTGCCCCACATCAGAAAAATCAAAGATCCGGCGCTGGGGTAAACGAATACACATGTACGTATGTGTAAGTACCTTGTATATATGGTAATTGTATATATATAACTGTATATAATAATTTATTTACTAAATAATATTGATGAATTGATTACATTATCTCCTAAGTTTAATTATAGTAGGATTATCTTAAAGGAGTGAATCCATACTAGTAAGTTATATTTTGAAAGATGTTTTGAAGTAATTTGAAAGTTAATTGTTAAAAATGTTTTAACGGGGACTGGAATTAAATCATGAATAACAAAATTTCAATTATAAAAGGAATAAATGCATGTAATCGTTGTCATTGATCTGAAATTAGTTGACTTTTCAAGGGGAACAAACCAACTCCCGTTCAACGAACAATAATTAATAAATAACTACGAAGGTGTTTCGTCTTTACTCGAGCAATAAGGCGAAGCCAAACCGGCAATTCAGGTCAGGCCAAATATTTCCGTGAATAGAAGGGATTATGAACCAATGCTGATATTCAAAGAACTTATTCCTATTAAGCATTTTAGCCAATTCAGTTTTGAGTGAAAAGCAATTTCTGCAGTAAAATTTTGATAATGCTCGAGTAACCGTCCCCCGGCACCCTCGTGTTTATGCATTTGAGTTCAATATTATTTGTAAAAATTAAACATTGGAAATTGTCATTATGAAATAGAATTCAAAGTAGTTGAAATAAACATTAGAAAATTACAAAAATATAAGATAAATAATGCAAACTTTGTAAAAACAAATAAAAAATAAAAAAAATAAAAAATATAATAAGAAAAGTGAATGTACATGAAGATATAAAGGCCAGAAAAAGTATTAATTAACTTATGTTCTTTCTAGTGGGAAGTGGGCAAAGTGTTGTCTTCGCGTCTGACTCAGAAGTGTAGTGTTCCCGAAAATTCTTTAACGGCAGCGGGGGCTTTGAATAGTATCAGTCGGTAAGACTTGGGTGAAATAATTTATGGTAGTGGGTGGGACTAGGAATTCTTGAGGGATGTATTCTGTGGAGTTCTTATTTGAGTGAAACCGTCTGTTAAAATTTTTGAAAATACTAGTGAATGGAAATAAATTAATTTCTGGCTAATTGTCGTGTCGAAACGGTTAAGAATTTAAGAAAGGAAAAAAGGAATTTTCACTGTCAAAGAGCTATTTGACCATGCCATGGATTGCCATTGACCATGCCATGGACCACACCATGCCATGGATTGCCGCTTGGTCTCCGGATCGTATTGATAGCACCACGACTCATTCCCTGTAATTATTGTTTCCGAAAATTGCGGATTCCGGTCACACATGTCGATAAAATCTCCAGAGGGTTCCATCCGATATTGCTCCAAGATTATGAAATAGGCCCATTTTTTTAGTAACAGCATAAGTCTGAAGACAATTAGCTTTTTACAATATATACAACTGAGTAATTACACTATATACAAATCCTTCAACTGATAGTCATCCAACTTATACCGCCTTCTCAGGTTTAGGAACAAATTATCATACCCCTATCAGTTAAATGATTTAGAGTGAGTATTTAACGCCTGTTCTTTTAAGGCAATGATTAATAAATTGATTGGGTATTAGATTATTTTTGAGAATTTTAATAAGGAGCAAAATTTCGCATTGTAGATCTATTGTATCTGTGCAGATATTTTTAATTCGTTGTATTTGATTTATTATTGTATTGTTAATTACTTTTTTGGATATGTTGGAATTCCAATTTATTAATTTATTAGTATTGAAATTGAAGTTTCTTGTTTTGTCAAAAAGTAAAATTTTTTTGTAGTTAATGATTTGAAGATCTAGATAGTCTATGCTATTATGTGAATTATTAGTTTTATTAAGTGTAAGACAATTTGGATAAATCTCGGAGTGTTCAATTTTACTAAAATTATTAATTGTAATAAGGTCATCAATATATCTGTAAGTGTGCTTGTAGTAATTTAACTCTTGTGGTTGTAGATTTTTTGGAAGTTAAATTCTTTGATAAATAAAAAGATATTACAGATCGAGGTGCTGGAATGTGAGCCCATTGGCAGACCTCTGACTTGTTTAAAAAGTTGATTTTGAAATTTGATGTAGTTATGAAAAAGTGTGCATTTTAGGTAGGTTTTTCCATTTGTTAAGAGTCATAATTATGAGCATATCAGGGAAGAATTTAGGCAGATCTAGTAGACTAGTATAGATTTCTTCTAAAGGAAGTGAGGTATATAAGTTTTCAAAGTCATAGCAGTTAATGTTTTGTATGTTAATTGTTTGAATGGCATTAATGACAGGAGTATTTTCGCACTAAATGAATTTAAGATCATATAACTGTATATATATATATATAAAAGGTGTGTTCGAAAAGTTCGGTGAATTTTACCAAAAAAAGGAAACAAGAGAAACAAGCAAAATAGCTTTACTGGCCTTCAAAGTATTCGCCATTAGCAACAATACACTTTTGACATCGGGTGTACAATTGTTGGAAACTGTCTGCAAACGCTTCTTTCGGTATGGCTCGAAGCACCGTTGTCACACGTTGTTGGATCTCAGTAATGTCGGAAAAGTGTTGGCCTTTCAGAACTCCTTTGAGGCGGGGAAACAGGAAGAAGTCCGCGGGAGCCAGATCTGGAGAATATGGAGGGTGATCCAAAACTGGAACCTGGTGCCTGTCGAGGAATTGGGTTACACGGATCGCAGTGTGCGGCCGGGCGTTGTCATGGAGCAGATTCCACTGTCCATTCCGGTACTGTGGCCGAATCCGGCGTATGCGTAGCAGCAGCCGTTTCAAAACCCCCTCGTAGTATTCCGCATTGACGGTTGTAGCCGCGGGTACAAATTCACGATGGATCAAACCCTTACTGTCGAAAAAGACGATCAACAACGTCTTGATCCTGGATTGTGTCAAACGACTTTTTTTGGGAGGGGGTGACGATGACGTTGAACACCATGCCATGGATTGCCGCTTGGTCTCCGGATCGTATTGATAGCACCACGACTCATCCCCTGTAATTATTGTTTCCAAGAATTGCGGATTCCGGTCACACATGTCGATAAAATCTCCAGAGGTTTCCATCCGGTATTGCTTTTGCTCGTCTGACAGCGAGTGCGGTACAAACCGGGCGCATATCTTACGTTTATGCAAATGTTTGTGCACAATGGTGCTCACACTGTCTAGGCTTATCTGCAATTCGCCAGCTATCATTCTTAAAGATAGTCGTCGATCTGCCGCAAGCATCCGTCGAACTCGTTCCACATTGTCTGGAGTTGTGCTTGTTGTAGGGCGCCCCGACCGCGGCTCATCTTTGACATCCTCCTTTCCGTCTGTAAAGCGTTTAAACCACTCATAAACACACTTTTTACTCACTGCTTCCTGACCGTAAACTTTCACTAACATGTCATGTGTCTCCGTCGCCGTTTTGCCTAACTTGAAGCAAAACTTTATGTTTATGCGTTGCTCCATGTCACACTGACAATCTTTCTCACACTGACTGTGTTAAACTGCTCATAGCGTGCGCTTCCTCTTATCTGTCGTAAAATGGCCGTTAGATGGCTCTAGATGACATTTCTCTCACTGCGTCTGCGTGAGTGCAAGATCCTAACCGGCGCGGTTTTTTAATTATGAGACCAATCACCGAACTTTTCGAACACACCTTGTATATATATATATAAATTTAAAGTAGAGATGCTAATCGAACGAAGCATATTATATATATACTATTTGAAAATCACAGATTTAAATTCAAAAATTATATTAATTTGTATTTTCTTCGCATTTGCCATAGAAGTACAAAAATGCGAAAGAAACGAAACGCGATCAGATTCCAGCTATTGATAATTTTATAGAAAGAAACTAATTCCCCTTGAAAAGTCAGAATCTTTATATGAGATCAGCAATAATAAATTTTATATATTTCAGGCTTTCTTTATTTCTTTTATTTTTAACATTTGATTTTTATTAATTAAATTTTTAAACACATTTTCCGCATTTTGCTTTTCTACAATTTTGCAGCATTTACTAAGATTTAACTTTTTAAAAAATCTCTCTTTAATTAGTTTTAATAATTAATTTATTTAATTATAATTAATTTAATAATTAGTATTTACTCATCGTTTCCTAAGAGATAATCACAATTAATAGTTAAAATATGTATCGTTTTGCTTCAACTTCTTTCGCATAAGAAATTATAGCCGTATTGATAACAGTCAGGTCATATCTTCGGTCAACTACCGTAATTTCGGGAAGAAAGGCCGCATCAGCGTAAACGCCGCACTCGAGAAAAATGGCGGGAAAAAAATTAAAATTACACAGAAACGCCGCATCAGCGTAAACGCCGCAATAGATTAAATTGCGCGTGACATCGTCGTGGGCCGTATAGATGCAAAAACTCAACCTAAGTCCTGATATATGACATACCAGTTAAGAAAAATGCATGAAATGAAACCATAACTCAAAAATAAATTAAAGGTAAGAAATGTATAGCTTCTATGCCGTTTAGAAACATTTTCAAAAATTTTCCGCTCCCTTCTTACTTAAAGACTATTCAACAAGTACTTGTACTCAAACTGATGGGATTTGTATTTGGCAGAATGCCAAGAAAAATCCTTTCATGCTGAAGAGGAAATACGTCAGAGTTCGTTATTGCGAGGGGTGGAGTCGTGTCCGCCTTTGAAAAAAATTGCAGAAAAGTTAGGGGTGGAAAGAGGATGGGTCCTGGAAGATTCATCGAATGACAGAGCAGAGAGCCTATTCAAACTGATGAGAATGTTGATTTGAAAGGGGGAAGAATGTTATTGTTCTGAGATCTCGTTTAGGGTGAATAAGGCATGTAGGTCCGTTCAAGGGAAAGAATGTAAACGAAATAACGTTCGCAAAAAGCAACTGAGTGGTCTTTTGTGTGGGAACAGCACCAGTCTATGCACAATGACAAGGCCATCCAAACTATGTACAATGACTCATTTTTTTTTGTGCACCTAAACGCCGCATGGGTAGAAACGCCGCACCCGCTGAAAATTTAAGTTTTAAACACGTAAACGCCGAGGCGTTTCTTACGGAAATTACGGTAAATATAACCTATTGGCATGTCAGTAAGAATATAATGTCGATATACGCTAGTGGTTCTAAAAAATTCTATTCTCCGCTGTTGGACGGAATAGCTACATAAAGCATTATATAGAGAGAGATATATATACATATATAGAAAGTCCTTAACGATGTTATTATTTGTCCATATAGGCAAACAGTGCTGCAACAGTTTTGCATAATCATGCAATCTAATTCTTCTATATTGTTTAATTTTATCAATGTTATCTAATTTATTTCATTTCATGTTTTACTGAAAGACCGAATACCTTTTCAGCCTTTTGTCTTTTTTTAATTAATAAAGAAATTATCGTCAATGTGGTGAAGTAATAACGTGAAATACTATTTTAATAACATTTGTAAGCTCAGTATTTCTCGCTTTCCTGTGCATAACGACAATACGAGCTAAATTCTTGTTAAAATCACTTCCATAACAGCATCTGTATTTTGACAGGATACCTATCTGTTTATGAGTTCCAGTCTTTATATGCACTTATAAATAAAAATCGGATTATTTGGATTACGACCAAGGCACAGAAAGCTATCTGCCCAACAGAGAAGAGACTTCCTGGAAGACATTTTAAAGGAAATTGGGTTTGTATTCACGTTACACACGAGACCACATGCAGCCAGCTAGTTCAACGACATGTGAACTGAAGCCAACTACCAGTGTTCATTGATTCGACCACTGGTGGGTCTATAATGAATAAAGAAATAAAGTTAAAAAGTAAATCTACTTGAAATTTCATGATATTAGCATTCATTTCCCCAATTTTTCAGTTTCATCAAAAATGTATTTTTTCTTTATATATCCCATTTGTATAGTAATTGTTCAGTCTTACCGATGTTCAGTCTTATCTCCCTGATATATGAATTTCAAAATATAGAAAATGCCTCCAGAGGCAGTGCTGTGCAAAAAGGGGAAAACCGAGAGTGTGTTCTCGCTTTGGAGAAGTGAGTGTTCCCGCCTTTGTGGCGAAAGTGTTAAAGTAATTACAGAGAAATAAAGCTACAGTCCTAAACTTTATAAGTGTTTATCGAATTATTGAGAAGTTGTGATTTACAAATAGGAATTTTCATGGTCCATCGAGCCAGAGTTAGAAACAAATCAGCGACATCTAAATAGTGAATTCGTGAAAACGAAAGTGTGTTCTTCTTCCGAAGCGATTGTGTTCTTCTTCCGAAGCGATTGTGTTGTGTAACCTGTGTTCATAATAATGGAAGAAAAAATTAATTCGTTAAAGCGTGAAAATCTACCCTAAAGGGTAAAATAACTCGTTTAGAAACCTTTGTAGAATCGGTGGTTGAACCGATAAGTGAAGATATTATAACCGAATCAGAAGTAAAATTAGAAACTGTGTGAACCATCAGAAGATGTATAGCTGAATTACAAAAGGATTACTTCAAATTGCCTGTAAAAGTGGATAATAGTGAAGCAGAATCGGATTTAGAAGAGCTGGAGATTCGTCTGGAAAAAATAGAAGTAAAATTAAAAACATTCTTACATAAATTAAATGTGAAACTTTCTGTGAAAAGTACTGAAAATGAACAGGGTAAAATAAGTGTTGATAATTGCTCTAAAATAGCCCCAGATGTAAAGCTTCCAAAATTAAGTTTACCTACATTTACTGGTAATGTTTATGAATGGATAACTTTCAATGATCTATTTAAGGCTGCTGTGCATAACAAGGATAATTTGTCAAAAGAACAAAAGCTTCAATATTTATTATCAGCCCTTAAAGGCGATGCGCTCCGAGTCGTAAAGTCAATCCCAGTTTCGGATCAAAATTATGAAGTGGCTTGGTCACTGTTAGAAGAAAGATTTTCAAATCATCGAGAACAGGGTTTTTCCCACATTAAGCGATTTATGTCAATTCCACCTATTCACACTGAATCTGCTAGTGCTTTACTAAATTTAGTTGACATTACTTTAGACTGTACAAGAGCGTTAGAAATTTTAGAATACAAAATTGATGGGTTTGCTGATACAATGTTTGCGTATGTTTTGTTACAAAAATGAGATGCTTCAACAAAATTATGGTTCGAACGCGAATTTGGTAAGAAAAATAATGTTCCCAAATTGAGTGAATTAATTGAATTTCTAAAAAAATCATGCAAGAACTTTAGAAGCGTCTACATTTTTTAAGAACACGAACCAAAAGCATTGTTCTAAAGGTACTGTGTTGTTAAGTAAAGTCAAGTCATCTAAGTGTAGTTTCTGTTTGGACAATCCTATTATATTTAAATGTCCTAAATTTCAAGATATATCAGTGAATGATAGGTTTGAATTTCTAAAAAATCAAAGATTGTGTTTTAACTGCTTTTTAAACCATAGTGTAAAGCAGTGTTCTTCAAAATTTTCATGTTCTAAGTGCGATAAAAAACATAAAACCCTGATTCCCTTTGAGAAACGAAATAATAATTCATCCCATGGTGTACATTCTCAAAAAGCATCTTTCGGCCCGAATAATGCTAGTGAAATAACCATTTCAAGCGAATTAAATCTAAACGCGATTAGTTTCGAAACTAAAAGTGCTACTCCCTCCATAAATCAGTCATTTGTCGGAACGAGTTATGAATGTGAACATAAATCCTTCTCGGAGCCAAGGCAAAGGTTTCCTTTCCAAGGTCGAAAAACTCAAGTTTTTGTCTACTGCTGTGGTTAAAGTTCGAATGGGAAATGAAGAAATAATAAACATTTTAGCAATTCTTGACGAAGGCAGTCAAGTCAGGATATGTTACAAATAAAAAAACAAACAATAAATTCTCCTATAATGGGCCTGAATAATTTGATTCTAACTGTTAAAAGTAAGGTAGTAACATCAGTGGAAAAATTCGAATGGAGACCTTAAAAGAAATGTTGAATTTTTAACTGTAGATAATATTATTGATCTTACTCTGTCGAAACAATTGGATGTTAAGAAAATTTGTTTTCCAACAAATATTTGCTGAGATAAATTTTTATAGACCAACGAAGATTGATACTCTTCTGGGAGCTGATATGCATTTTACCTGCTACTCACACCAAATGAAATAAAATTACAAGAGGAATCTGTCGTGTTACAAGAGACAGTGTTTGGTTGGGTAGTGAGTGGGTCTATGAATTTAAGCAAACAAAACCGTTATCATTGTGGATCAGTACACAAGTTCGAAGATTTAGATAATCAATTAACAAAATTCTGGAAGTTAGAATCCCTTGTTATTAAGGATACTTAATTGAGAAATGAGGAAGATAATGCCTTAGAGATGTTCAATGAAACAGTATATTTTAAAGACGGACGATATGAGGTTGGGTTACCTTGGAAGAAAAACTG